GGTTGCAGTGAGCCAAGATTGTGCCACTGCATTCCAGCCTGGGTGATACAGGGAGGCTCTGTCTCAAAAATAAAAAAAATTAAAAAATAAAAATTCTCATCTGGAACAAGAGAAAAAATGGAGGTAATAAGATTTCTTGTTTCAAGGGCTGTGGTGAGGAGAGATGAGGTGACACAGGTAAAACAGTCAGCATCTGGTCTCTCCCATTATAGACACAGCGGTTGCTTAATTTCTCTGTGGACTTGAGGTCTCCACTATGGTGATTGCGAAGGGCAAGCCAAATGCCAATCCTCAGCTGCCTTACACTGAAAGCAAGATCTCTGGAAGAAAGAGCAGGGGTTGTTTCTATTTGAAGAATTCCTACTTTCCAGCTTTACATGTTCCCGAAGCTATGGATACTTCTCCCTCGTGAGCTCAAACATTGCTGAAATGGGGATACCTCTGTTTTAAAACATACGGGTGGTAGAGTGACATGAATTCAGAAATAACTGTATTTAGCCATGGTGGTAACCAGAACCTTGTTATACAGAATTTAGGAATGGTGGCAAAATGCTCGGGAATCTCAAGACATATTTACTAGGCAGCCCTCATGGATGCTTCTAATACTGGGACACTTGGAATGTTCTTAATAAAAAGGAACACGATTAACATTTATACTGTTTATCACCTCTTTTCGGCTCTTCCTATGTCAGAAACCCCAGTTTCTATGCATCTGTCCATTCTTTTTAACAGTTCATTATTCTTTGTCACTCTTCACATTTGTAATATTAATAGTTATCTTTAGATCAAATGCCATATTCCGTGATCTCTCCCTGAGAAGGTCACCCAACAAAAGTCTTGGTTCAGTTCAGTTAAATAATGCTTGTTTTCCACTCTTTGCTCAACTTCTGGCTTCATAAAACCTAGAGCTTTGGGGGTCAGGCATGGTTGCTGATGCCTGTAAATCCTAGCACTTCGCGGGGAAACTAAGGCAGGCGGATCGCTTAAGGTCGTAAGTTTGAGACCCGACCTGGGCAACATGGCAAACCCTGTCTCTACTAAAATACAAAAATTAGCCAGGCTAATTTTTACAGGTGCCTGTAATCGCAGTTACTCAGGAGTCTGAGACTGGAGAGTTAATGGAACCCCAGAGGCACAGGTTGCAGTGAGCTGAGATCATGCCACTGCACTCCAGCCTGGGTGACAGAGACTGTCTTGGAAAAATAAAATCTAGAGCTTCACTTTCAAATATGAGTGACTCTATAGGTCTAAGAACCTTGAATCCTTGTACTTCAACTGTTTGTATCACCTCTATTCCTTAGTTTGCTTAACTTGACCCGCTTTTTAATTAAAATGAATTTAAAGGTATACGACTAGGCAATAATAGTGAACTGGTACATCCGACATGTTTCATTATGAAAATCCCTATATTTTTATACAAGGGTGTGTGTGTTTTCTGTTCTGTTCTCTGGTGGAAGGGACGTGGGTACACACTATTCCTGTCCTCCTCTCTCAGACAACCCCTATGTCCTCTCTGATGAGTACCCACCCACACTGTGCCTGAACCTCTCCACTGTGACTAGAGGCAGTGGTGCTCCTGCAGGGCTCAGCTCCTGAGTAGGATGAAGGCCTTTTCTTTGCCCTCTGCCCAAATGAGCTGTCCTGGTTTTTTTCCTTTGTGTCTGGCTCACAGCATTTCATAACAAGTCTATTCTCTTTGGCAATCTCAGGACATTTGTGATCATCTGTCCCTCTCTGCTCAATCCTCTCTCCTCTGAAAACTTTCAGAAGGAGGTCATTTTAGAGAGGAGCTTGTGGCTTGCCAGTTATGGGGATCGTGCAAGTGTCTCAAAGCCTATGTGCTTTGGCAGAACTAAAAAATGCCCCAGGGCTCCAAGATCAGTTGGTAGGGATGGAAAGACCTTGAAGAACAGAGGACAAGGGAGGAAGAGAGCAGGGTACCTAGAAAAGCCCAGTAGTTCTGAAATACATGCTGCTGAGTTGTTGACCTGCTCTGATACACCACCAGGGTGGAGAATATTTTGAGTAGGGAGAATCTGAGAGTGTCCTCTTTTGTCTTCCTTAGCAGTGACTGAAGCTAGAGACTTAATACTCTATGCAATAAAATTAAAATGAAGAGGTTTATGGCTAGGCACGGTGGCTCACGTCTGTAATCCCACCACTTAGGGAGGCTGAGGTGGGTGGATCACTGAGGTCAGGAGTTTGAGACCACCCTGGCCAACACGGCGAAACCTGTCTCTACTAAAAATAAAAAATTAGCCTGGGGTGGTGGCAGGTGCCTGGAGTTCCAGCTACTCAGGAGGCTGAGTCAGAAGAATTGCTGCAGGGCAGGTAGAGAATTGCCAAGGGGGCAGAGGTTGCAGTGAGCTGAGATTGCACCACTGCACTCCAGCCTGGGTGCCTCAGTGAGACTCCGTTTAAACCTATTAGAGGTGTCTGATGTGTCTAGCATATATCCTGGGGCCTCTCAGAATCCCCCAAAATCTATTTATTGTGTACTGTTTTTAATGAGACTGAAGTAGTAAGCCAAAATCTTTAAGGTAGAACGTCATAAGCCCTTCTGAGACTCTTTAACTATTATCTCTTTTAAAAACTAAGCCTGGGGGATATTTCCACTCATTGGAACATGCTGGTATCTCCAGGGAGGTAGGGGAGTGGCTTGAAAAATCATTCAAGATTATGACATAATTCAAGCTAGGATGAATCTTGTTCTGTATATTCTGAAGTGCAGAACATAATTCTATTTCTTTTCCTTAAATAAACCTAAGGCCATCAATGACCTCTTGTTCTGCTGCTGAGGTGGGCAGTGGAGCAGGCCAGTTTCTTTCTGTCCAAACACACACACACACCACCTCGCAACAATCTTCTAGAGATAGGAGAGAAATACGTGCTGGATAAACAATTCTCTAAATTCATACTGCAGAAACTTTTTCTGCCACCTGATTGCATATTTGATACTTCCCTGATGAAAACATCTTACTCTCATAATATAAAGAGAGAGGAAAGTAAAGAAAAATTTTGGCTGGGGGCTATAGCCTGAAAAGTGAGAGAGGGGTGGTCTTATAAGTGGAGACATCAGGCAACTTAGAGCTGGAAGAATCTCTGTCCTGTGAAGCTCACCCAGATGCTCACCCAGAACGGCACCACTGGACCCAGTGGGTTTGGCTCAAACATGATGAATGTGTGAGAAACAAAGTCTAAAGGAACTAGAAAAGCACAAAGGGACATTTCTGTGGCTTTCTTCCCTGAGCCTATTTTCTTTTTCCTCTCTAGTCGAGAGGTTGGCATATCCCTTCTTCTAACTTTGTGTTATTTCTGTCTGCCTAGCTCTGTGGATTTTCTGATGCAACCCTATGCCCCGATAGATTTTTTCCTTATCTGTGGGAGCTCCATAGATCCTGATTTCAGGCAGCCTCTCCTTCCTGCTACTCACGAATCTGAGGTCAGGAAAAGATGCCAATTTGAAATCTGCATAAGAGACCACACATGAATGTTTCAATAAATTGTAAGTTTGAAGAAACAGAGGCATGAAGGGTGGACACTCACTAAATGCTTGTGAAATGATACTGTTAACTAAACTCAGGGAAATCTGCATACTTTTCTTGGGTAGGTGTTGATGAAGATAGTTTCCATTTAGGTGGTATTTTTAAAAAGCATTTCTCGATTTCTTGTCTACTCCCTTTTATTTCTAAAGCCCTAAATTCAGTGATGCCAACTACCATTCTGGCTCCTTCCATCTGCAATAATCTACCCACGGGCTGCATGAAGGCGAGAGCCAGGACTGGTGATTAGGTTTAGCAGGTGCCTGAGGATATGAATGGGCTTCGAACTGCTCAGCCCCAGCCTGCCTCACAATTAAAATCTGAAAGTCTGAAAAAAGGACATAAGAAGGAAAACCTTAAGTTCCCCCCAAAAAGAAGGAAACTGATTGATGACTGAGTGAATTAAGGACATAGGGGTTGGTCACTCACTTTATTATGGGGAAAAAATTACTAACCCACAAGTGATTGTAAATATACTTGATGCAATAATAGAGCTCAGCTCAGTCCATCATTGACGGAGATAAATACTGTATCTTGAAATTGTAATGATTTGAAATTCAAAAGGAATAAAATTAATCAGTGCCTTACTCATCTTCTGGTACATGATACCAATTTCATCAGAAATTTTATTTTATTTTTTGCAATCTAGTCTAAAAAACAAATATCCCATTGACTGAGGTCTTTTGTAATACAAATTGTGATTTAGAGAATATCTCCAGCACTGACTGCCCACCTACTCAACATCGTTGATTCTCAATCACTTTCATAACATCAATGCTCATATCATAATGTGGGAGAATAACTACCTCTAGGTGAACATAGGTAAGTTTAATTATGGTCCCCGTAATGAGAAATAGCCTATTTTCTAAAAACACTTAATAATGTCTTACTGTTTAGCAAGCAATTTTAAGTCAGGTAATTGGGGGAAATGGAATAAAAGGCTAAAGGAAATGGGGGCTCCTTGTTCAGTTTAACAAACATTTTGTTAAGAGAATTAGGAGGTGTTTGGGGCTAAACTCATGCAAGTCCACAGAGACAAAGTATTCTTAAGCCTGCCGTGATGAATAACTTTTTTAGGACAGACATCAAATATCAGCCATGAAAATATCTTCTTAACCCTCTGCATCTGGCAACTACAGCTGTTGTCCTAAATATTATACGAAAAACAAAACATATTAAGAGTTTGAGAGACAATTTCTCTCTGGGTGAAGTGGGGTCTTCAGTGGCTGACTTTTTGGGGGGAATCGTATTTATTCTAAAGTTGATCAAATAGTTAATTCCACTCCCCTAAACAGCCAGTGAGGTCTGCCATGAGCCCAGGAGCAGACGGCCTTCCATCCTGCGAGACAAGCCACTGAATTCTTTCCTACAGACCAAGGAGAGAAATTTGCAGCAAACTTGTAAAAAGAATGACTCCAGGTGGAAATGGGGACGGCATGCACGTGAATGAATACTTACATAAATGTCTGCACCATAAAATCCATCCTGGTAAACAACACTGCAAGGGTGCACACACAAAGAGAAACATCCATATTAGTGCATTTCCCATGCAGACACACCAACCCCTGCACTGGCGAGGTTAGTCTGGTCACAATCCAAAACACAGGAACCGAGGATCGTTTCACATTGATTAAGGAGGTTGGAGACAACGGCCATTGAGCAAACCTAGAAAATTAGGCTGGGCTTCGGTGTTGGCCCATAATTAGGACCTGGTGGTAGTGGCATGCTAGGTCCCAAACTTGCCACTCTCTCAGGAGTGGATGCAGAAATGCACAACTTTGAAATGCGAAGAGGACTGAGATTTATTTTAAGAGGCCCAGAGAGACATGAGCATCTTAATAGGTCAGGATTGGCAATGAAACCACATAACCCCCTATCCCATGGAACAAACCGCCAAACCATCTACTTAAAAATAGGATTATAAGGCTAGAGACATAGAGTGCAGAATTCTAAATATGGGCTAGAGCTGAATGACCTTAGGTGAGCTGGGCAACACAAATGATCTAAAATTATTTTCTTCTACCTTCTTTCACACTGTAGTATATTTGATAACTCCATGTGCATCATTTTATGGTAAATGGAGACTATCCCTAATGATATGTGGGTGAGCATGGGTATGTGCTCAAGAATGTGTTTTGTGTGCACACAGGTCTATGTGTACAAGTGGATTGTGTGCCTATTTGTGTGTATGGTAATACAATTGTGGAGGAATGCATGTTTGCACTTCTGTATAGTATGTACCTATATAAACACATGCATGTGTATGCTTATATAAGTGTATTGGGATATTTATATGTATTCGTATTTTTATGTACATGGATATATGCAGGTGTATATCTGTATGTTTCATCAATTATATCTAGACTAAGCAAAGGTCCCATACCATGATTGAACAAGCCCAGTCTGACAACAGCTTTCTGATTGCCACCCATAGAGTCACCATCCAAGAGAAGAGAATTCACAGGGCTAGGGACAGGCATTAGGGAATGATTCTCCTGAAGCTTTTTGGTATGCTTTGAGTAAAATATCCAGGAAACAGCTTTTAGCTATGCGATTGTGAGAAACTGATTTATATTTCCTAAGCATTAAAATGAGTTTAATGAGAATCATATGTACCCTTCACAGGCTTTTGTAAGGACCACAAGGTGTCTTGGACATACAACTGTTTCTAAACACCTATTTTTAAAAGGATAGTAGTTATTTACAATCATCCCCGGTGTCTTCCCATGTAGTTTCCAGATGACTTATGATTCAGGCAAAGGACCAATGATCACCACCATTGAATGAGGCTGAGGTTCTAAGAGAAGGACGACTTTAATACCAGAGGATTCCAGCAGGTTTCAGTAGCAGACTGGACCCACATGTAAGCCAAGCATATTCAGCCAAGGGAAGGCATTTTACAGCACACACACAAAGTACTGATACACACATGCAATTGTGACACTGGCTTGTTGGAGAACACTCTAGTGTGCTTCTTAGCGTATTCTGGAGTTGTTGACTAAACTCCAAGTACCATTATCCTTAAAAATGCATCAGGGATTTCACACGCTAAGGAGATCGTTAGGAATAGCTTTCAGCTGTGGTTCATATTTGATCCGGGAGGTCTACAGTTCACAAGAGCACTTGTGAAGGGGCGTAAGGCCCTAATCCAAGATGCTGAGGTATGCAGCGTCCTGAGCTACACTTTCAACTCTTTTTCAACATTTCCATTGTAAAGCGAGAATGTCGGTTGGGGGTCAGAAGGCAGAGTCACCCTCTGCCAACAGGACGTGGAACAGATCTGATGAGAGGTTTGCAACAAATATTTAGTGTGGGTCCTAATCCACAGAACTGATCACTAAGCCATATCAAAACAGCTCTGTCCCATTCTTGCGGCCATGCCCTTGCATGTGTTATGCCTTGTGTGGGCAATGTCCTTTCTTCCAGTATCCTCATCCGAAAGCAGTGAGATGACCTTTCAAGAGCCCAGTCAGATGGGAAGCACATGGACGTTGGCATCAAATGCAGCATCTTCAATAGCTCAGTACCTTTGGACACATTGCTTGAGATACCTGAACCTTACTCAGCTGTAAAATGTGGAAGTAGCTAAGTGCCCACCTCAAGGGAGGGTTTCACAGGATAATGCTTGCAAAGGGACGGGCATCATCCTTAACAATGTAGCTCTAACAAAGGTCACCATGTCTGAGACCTGGTGCTCACCTGCCGCTGGGTGACTTCTCCCAGTATGAACACCAGCATCACTTTTCCGTCTCTTACCTGAGCCACTCATCAATTTCTGCCTCACATTAAAGGTATGTGTGCATGTGACTCATTGCACCTTAAAAGCTACACCCAGTGGCTTAGCTAACATTCTCTCTTGATTCCTGACACGTTGTTTATTAACTAGAAGATGTACATTAACTGAGTGACTAGGGCCCATGTTTTAGAGGGAAGATTGGGCATGAAAAGGTTTCAGGAGATGACCGAGTCATCTCTTTATCAACTCCAGTTGTAATTCTACAATGGGTTGGGAGGAGCCTCAGGTTTGTCTATGATTTGGCTATTCAGTATCAGTGGGTGTTGTCCATGGAGGAGAAATACGATTCAAAGACTGGAACTTCAATTAGGAGAACAGGGTAAATGATTAGGCAGAAAGCAGTCTAGAAGTAAACAATATATTTTTCACCAAATATGAACATATACTTTTAGATATGGGAAATAATGTCTTCTAAATATCTCTGGGGGGACCTCATCTGTCTCTGATCTTCTGGGAATGATGGAGAGAAGAACTAAGTCCGGGCCTTGGGGGCTCTTCCAGCGGGGCACATGGCATGGGAGTGGGCCAAGAGTGGGCTTCCGTGATATGGCTGAGGCTGAGCTCTGGCCGAGAAACTGACCCCTTCTTTCATTAAGACGAGTTGTTACGCACCCTGCCCAGTTTTGTGCCTTCATGTCAAGCCTGTTTGTACCAATATTGCCTAAAAGTAAGGAAAGAACATGCCTTGATGTTTGCTCTTAGGAGTCTCTGTTCACTAGGGTGACCTGATCGCCATGCTTTGTCCTCCACCATGGGCCATGGAAAGTTATTTGGGGGATATTGACATCCCACATTGATAAGACATTGAACCAAAGAGGAACTGATCTGGCTTTCCCATTGTGACAAGCTCAAACTGAACAAGAACTAATTCTCAATGACTGAAAGGTTTCCTGTACCCCAACTACTATGCCAAGGCATGGAGACAGAGGAAGCAAGCCCCCTCAGTAAATGTGCCCTCCCAGAGTGTACACGGAGTGGGGCACACAATCACAAATTATGCACAAAACTGTACAACTCTAGCTGTGTTCGATGCTGCAGGAGAGAGCAGCAGAGGTGTCCTGAATGTGGAATGAAAGGAGGCAGGGCCAGCAGCAGAGATGAGACAGGCTGAGCAATGCCACTGAAACTCAAAAGCCTTGGCTCGGTGGAGAGAAAGGAAGAGCTGGCAAGGCAAAGGGTACGGGGTGGGGAGGATGCCGGAGACAGAGCAAGGCAAGTCTCATGGATGAAAGGTGCCTAGCTTTTTGGAGGGGCCGGGGGAAAGGTATGATGTCTAGCATTAGGGTCTAAATACGGTGGCTTCCTGGAGGAAAGGTGACTGTAGTTGCTTTTATAAACCCCATCACAGAGGGATTACTTGTTTTCAAAGTGCACATGTACGTCTTGGAGAGAAATAGAAGATGAGTGATCTGTATGATCACTCAAAATTGTGGAACCAATGTAGTCATCCTCACTGGCAGTGTGAAATAAAGGCATGTAATGGGAAGCCAATTTTATCAAAACTGTTTTTCTCCTTAAGAGTAACAGCATGAGCATCATTACTGCCACTACTCACGCTTACCAAGGATCAGTTCCTAGTTTGGAAGTTCTGTGCTCATGATCCCACTCATTCCTCATAACACCCCTATGAGGTGGATAATACCATTGCCTCTTTAGACGTGGAGAAACTGAAAGAGCTTGGTATTGACTGAATTGGGATTCGAGCCCAGGAAGTCTGGCTCCACAGCCCAAACTCTTAAGTACTATGGCAGGACAGAGCAGCGGCAATGGTGGTCAGACTTGAATGTGGATCAGAATCACCTCGAGGACTTGTTGAAACACAGATGGCTGGGCCCCATGCCCAGCCAACAGATTCTGATTCAATAGATACGGACGACAGCATCTAAGTTTGCGTTTCTGACGAGTTAACAGATGATGATGATGATGCTGGTCCCAGGAGTATGAGAATTGTTGCTCCATGCAACACCATCCCCCAGGTGTTAGTTAACTTCACATCTGAGACAAAACTGAAGGTCAGCCTCCTAAGTCATTCTAGAGGAGGAGCTGGTTACAGGAAAGCTCTTATCACAGAGTCTTATGCTAGTTTCCAAAAATGTATCCAAATAACTTTTAAAACCTCATCAAACAGCTGCACTTAAACTATCATATGTAGGGAAACAGGCACAGGGATCCATGTCTACGGTGCAGCTATAGATAAATTAACCACAGAACAGTTATAAGAGCAGGGAGTTACCATCGTGCACTAAACAGGTGCAGTCCTATTCCAATGCAGAGACGGTCCGTCTGGCCATGCAAAGGTAATTGTTTTGCTTGTCAATCATGTTGGGACTTAATATGCTTTTGCAAGGACATAATGCAAATGCACATCTTATTTTCTTAGAAAAGTAATAGCAGTAAATAATTGAATGCAAGTCAGGGAGTGATTGCACTATAGAAAATTAGTTTACTATAAAAAAAAAAGTATAAAATGCCCAAACTATACAACCTGCTTGTGTAACATAACACATACCAGTCACAAGTATATTTTTATAGAAAAGGCTCTTTACAACTACTCTACCCAGATGCCCCTCCCAACTAGAAAATAAATGAGACTTTTTAATGTGTTCAAATACAGCTATTTTTGACTGGATATCAGGTGGGATCATAAACTTGCTGGCATCTGTACAGAATGGGAGGGGTGTGTGTATGTGTGTGTGTGTGTG